CTACTCTCTGTTTTCTATCCATTAACCAGTTATCACACCATACCAGTATATTACTCAATCTCATGTGCACTGATTTTGTTTACCAACTTCTTATGTGGGAACTAATTGAAAGCCTCCTGAGAACCCAATTACATCATATTCCTCATCTATTTTGCTTGTTATAGCCTCAAAAACCTCTTGACAAATATGATTTCCCTTTCATAAATTGAATTATCACATTCTTTATTATAGATTCAAGCTTTTTCCTGATTACTATTGACAGATTAACTGATCTATAGTTCTCCACAGTTCACAATACTGCCAGGTTTTGTATTATCTGTAAATTCTGAAATTACACTCTGTACACCCAAGTCAAGGTCCTTAATTTATGTCAAAAAAATTGTCCCAGTACCAACTCCAAGGGACCTCACTGAATATCTCGAGCAAAAACATAAATTGCTAGAGAAATCAGCAGGTCTGGCAGCACCTGTGGAGAAAAAGCAGAGTTAACATTTTGCGTCCAATGACCCTTCTTCAGATAGTTCTGTATTTGTTTCAGGTTTCCAGTATCCACAGTTCTTTATCTTATCTGAATTACTGAAAATCTCTTGCAGTTCAAAAAAATGTTCACTGCTACTCTGTATCTTGTTATTCAGCAACGTTGTATCCATTCTGCTACTGTCCCTTTAAAAACATTCAACTTTGCTCGTAAACCTTTTATGTGTGGCGTTTTTCAAGCACTGTTTACAATTCCATGTATAATACATTAACTGCAATAATTTCATCAACTTTCTCTTACTTCACTAAAAATCTCAATCAATTAAGTTACACATAATTCACCTTTAAAAAATTCATACTTGAATTTTAATCCATACTTGTTCAAATAATTGTGAATTTTATCCTAGGTTAACATTTCTAAAGGCTTTCTCACAAACACGGTTAAACTATTTGTCCCATAGTTGCTGGGTTTATCTAAACATCATTATTTTACAAGGGCATAACTTTTGTAATTTTTCAGTCCCATGTCATTATCCTGTTTTTAAAGAAGGTTGTAAGATTATGGTCACTGCCTTCATAATTTTCACATTTGTTTCCTTCAGTATCCTTCAATGCATCCCATCTCATCCAGGTGGTTTACCAACTTCATGCATGCTAGACTTTCTAATACTTATTCATTATCAATGGGCTTTTTTTTTTCAAACTAATCAACAATTTCCTCTTGCACTATTTCAGTACCTCTTCCTTGGTAAAGACAATGCAAAGTACTCAATTTGTCGCTCCACAGCACCCTCTGTGTCCATGTATGCATCTCCTGATCAGCCCCACCTTCTATTACTATGATTCCAGCTGATGTATTATTGGACAAGTCAAATCCCAGACAGAAATCTGGCTTGATAGGTCATATTTTGATTTATGTTGGTTTAAATAAAAGTGGTCCTTCACTAAAACATATGCATGCAATGCTGTGCATTTTGCTTTAACAATAAAGCTGAAGTTTATTAACAAATTAAATTAAGATAAAATAGAATAACTCCGCAAAGCAACCATCAATCTCACCAATGTTCAGAATGAAATAACAGACAGAGAGCCAGATTCACAACTGTATTGCCTCTATGGTCCTTCTCGATTGTCTAGTCCTCAGCCATTTCCTCTCTGCCTACATATCTTTAAATTTAATCTCAATTAAAATGTTTGCTTTATTTTCATTTATAGGTTGCAGCTACTTTATTGCCATTTTGCTTCTAAGGTGCAGGCTGTGGGTGGCAGGATGTGTGGTTTGTGTCTATTGGCTTGTCCTTGTGGCTTAATCTTAAAAGCAATGCAGCCAAGGCAGTTTTGAATAGGATGGTATAACTGATGATTATTTACATCCTGGATGACAAATAAATTGACATCAGCACACAGTTTTGATCACTACACTTAGGCAGGATGTGATCGCATGCACCAGAGAGGGTGCAGAAGAGATTCATCAGGATGTTGCCTAGACTGGAACAATTCCATTATGAAGAGAGATAAAGGGCTGGGATTGTTTTCCTTAGAGTAGAGAAGGCTGAAGGGAGATCAGATTGAGGTCATAGAGTCATAGAAATGTGCAGCACGGAAACAGACCTTTTTGTCTAATTTGTCCATGCCAACCAGATATCCTAAATAAATCTAGTCCCATTTGTCAGTATTTGGCCCATATGCCTCTGAACTCCTCCTGTTCATATACCCATCCAGATGCCTTTTAAATTTTGTTATTGTACCAGCCTCCACCACTTCCTCTGGCAGCTCATTCCTTACTCACACCACCCTCTGCATGAAAAAGTTGCCCCTTAAGTCCCTTTTAAATCTTTCCCCTCTCACCTGAAACCAATGCCTTCTAGTTTTGGATTCCTCCACACCAGGGAAAAGACCTTGTCTATATACCCTATCCATGCCCCTCATGATTTTATAAACCTCTATAAGGTCACCTCTCAGCCTCTGATGCTCCAGGGAAAATAGCCCCAGCCTATTCAGCCTCTCTGTATAGCTCAAGCCCTTCAACCCTCGCAACATCCTTGTAAATCTTTTCTGAACCCTTTCAAGGTTCACAACATTCTTCCTATCATCTTCTTCACTATCCTGTCTACCTGCAACTCCACTTTCAAGAAACTATGAACCTGCACTCCGAGGTCTGCTTGTTCAGCAACTCTCTCCAGGACCTTACCATTAAATGCATAAATGATTTTGCCTTTCCAAAATGCAGCACCTCACATTTATTGAAATTAAATTCCATCTGCCACTCCTTGCCCCATCTGATCAAGATCCCATTGTGCTCTGAGCTAATGTTCTTTACTGTCCACTACACCTCCAATTTTGGTGTCATCTGCAAACTTACTAATCATACCTCCTATGTTCACATCCAAATCATTTATATAAATGACAAAAAGTAGTGGATCCAGCACCTAGACGTACAAGGTTCTGAGGGGTTTAGACAGCATAAATAGGGAGAAATGTTTCCCCTTAGTACAGGAGTCAATAACCAGTGGCATAGTTGTAAGGTGAAGAGCAGGAGGTTTAGATGGGATTTGAGGAAACTATTTTTCATAAAGTGTTGAGAGAATCTGGAACTCACTACCTGAAAGAGTGGGAGGGTCAGGCACCCTTAACACGTTTGAGAATTATTTAGATAAGTACTTGAAGCCCATAAGGCTACAGGCCAAGTGCTGGAAAATGGGATTAAAAATAGATAGATGTTTGACGACTAGTGTCGATACAATAGGCTGAAGAGCCTCTTTGTGTTCTTTATGACTTTCTGCACAGTGCAATTGTGTACTATAGCACCAATAGTATCCATATGTCAGAGACACGTAATGAAAAATGTGTACATAGTGCTTCGTACAGTACTCTACTGTGGCCTCCAGGGAATAATACAAGCATTAGTGCCGCACGTGTGTGCTGGAAGCTTTTACAGTGGGCATTTTGGGAAATTAAACAGCATTACAGATGACCGATTGCAATTGCCATGCATATCCAGCCGATGCTTAAATAGGCATTTGTCTGCAAGGGAGCTCCACACTGGTACTACTTAAAAGTGAAGTTTCCAACTTGTAGTTAAAGTACAATTTACTTGTGGTCTTGAAAAATCTGTGGAAATATTAACTTTTTGGAAGGGTTTTGGTGACTTGCTGAATTTGGCATGAACTGTTGCAGCAACCTAAAAGGGAAGGCAGAGGAGTTTTGTGACCTACCAACCCAGTGGCTGTGTAAATTATGGGGCTACAGTTGGGACATCACTGACTTTGCAACATGACAGATAGATGGTGCAGAGAGATGATGCTTTGGGTCAAGATGGCAAGTAAAGAAGTCTTCACAAAAGGCCCTCCCAACAGGTATTTTCCTGGACTAACCTCTTTAAAAAAGCCAGGTGGTGAAGGTTAGGACTTGAACTAATTCACTGTTCTATGTGTCAATTTGCACACAGGTAGAGGAGGTGGTGGAGAAGTGGTAATGGCACCAGATAGCTATTGAATACCCGGGCCAATGTTCTGGGAATAAGGTTTCAAATCCTGTTATAGGGCGGTACGGTGTTTTCAGTGGTTAGCACTGCTGCCTCACAGCGCGAGGCACCTGGGTTCAATTCCACCCTTGGGTGACTGTCTGTGTGGAGCTTGCACATTCTCCCAGTGTCTGCATGGGTTTCCTCCCACAGTCCAAAGATGTGCAGGCTAGGTGGATTGGCCATGCTAAATTGTCTCTGGTGTTCAGGGATGTGTAGATTAGGGGGAAGGGTCTCGGTGGGACGTTCTGAGGGTCGGTCCGAAGGGCCTGTTTCCACACTGCAGGGATTCTATGATCTATGATCCCACAAACAAAGAAAAAGATTTTATTTTGGTAATGGAGGGTCAATATAAGCCAGGATATCAAGAACTTCCCAGTACTTACACAAATAAAGTTGGCTTATGTCCAACTAAGAGGGCAGATTGACCATTGGTTAACATCTCATCCTAAAGATTGGCGCAGCACTCCTTCAGTAATGCACTGAAGTATCAGTCTACATTATCTGCCCAAGACTCTGGAGCTGCGTCATGAACTTACATCTTTCAGATCTGGGTTGGATGGTATCACTGAGTCAATGCAATACAGACATTGCTAGGAAGTTGACTGGGGCTATTTAAAAAGGAATCGAAGATATTGCTACAGATTTGGAAAGTGTTAGCATGTTCAAACATTTTTCAGAGACAAGGGAAGTTGAAAAGCAATGGTTTGGAAGAATAGAGCACTTAAAGTTGTCTTGTTGGCGGAAGGTTAGAAAGTGGATTTGAAAGACAGGGCCTCAGTACTTGAAGACACCCATTTACAATGTCAGTTACATAATGCACGTAATAGGAATGATCAATTACAAAACAAAGATAGATTTTAGTTAGCCATAGCTCTCGGCTGAAGTTTACAGTTAGCATAGGATTTATGTTTGGAAACAATTAATTGGAGACGGAATTTAGAAGAAATACAGAATGTGGGGAACCAGGCAATAAGAACTTCCAAACTTTGACAAAGTGTTGAAACCTTACCACAATTTTAATATGAAGCCTACCTATTAGGCTTCATGGAAGCTTGAATTGGCTTAATAACATATGGATGAGTCAATGTCATGCATTAGCAACATACATTTCTTTATAGATTGACGTAAGTGCAACATGGATGTAGTCCTCACCACATACAGGATGTTGGTTTTGTTTCAAGAATCATTTGAAAATTTCTTAAATCGCAAGTTTCCATAAATTGCTCAACATCAGAAAATGTTTCACAGCAATAATTTATTAAATATCCAAAAAAAATTGGCAAAACAGTAAAAAGTAAAAAAAAAAAATCAGGAATTTGTGTTATTAAAATAAAATAGGGAGTTTTCAATATCCAGAACTTAAAGAATTGATTGGTGACCAATTCAGAGTGTAAAGAGGAAAACAGGGCAAGGCTACCAGAAGCAAGTAATCTATGACTGAGCTAACTCGTAGTAAAGACAAGTAAAAGCACAATAAGAGAAGATCCAAGGTAAACTAGGTTTTCAAATTGTCTCAGTAGACAATGACTGATTCAGGTTTCACTTTGGACCTTGTGCTTCAGATTCTTCCTCATCATCCTCATACATCTCTCCTTCTTCATCTGCCGTGGCATCTTGGTACTGTTGGTATTCAGATACAAGGTCATTCATGTTACTCTCTGCTTCAGTAAACTCCATCTCATCCATACCCTCACCCGTGTACCAGTGCAAGAATGCCTTCCTACGGAACATAGCTGTGAACTGCTCAGAGATGCGCTTGAAAAGCTCCTGGATAGCAGTGCTGTTTCCAATGAAAGTGGAGGACATCTTAAGTCCACGGGGTGGGATATCACAAACAGCCACCTTAACATTGTTGGGGATCCATTCCACAAAGTAGCTGCTGTTCTTGCTCTGGATGGCCAACATTTGCTCATCTACTTCCTTCATGGACATCTTGCCTCTGAAGACAGTGGCTACTGTCAGGTACCTACCATGACGAGGATCACAAGCTGCCATCATATTTTTGGCATCAAACATCTGCTGGGTGAGTTCTGGGACAGACAAAGCCCTGTACTGTTGGCTTCCTCGGGCTGTGAGCGGAGCAAATCCTGGCATAAAGAAGTGTAGGCGTGGGAAAGGTACCATATTCACTGCAAGCTTCCTCAGATCGGCATTAAGCTGTCCAGGAAACCTCAGGGAAGTGGTGACCCCGCTCATGGTAGCAGATACCAAGTGGTTAAGGTCTCCATAGGTGGGTGTTGCAAGTTTGAGGGTCCTGAAGCAGATATCGTACAGAGCTTCATTATCTATGCAGTAGGTTTCATCTGTGTTTTCTACAAGCTGATGGATGGAGAGGGTAGCATTGTATGGTTCAACCACTGTGTCAGAAACTTTTGGAGAAGGAACAACGCTGAAGGTGTTCATAATTCTGTCAGGGTATTCCTCACGAACTTTGCTAATAAGGAGGGTTCCCATGCCAGACCCTGTACCTCCACCCAGTGAGTGAGTAAGTTGAAAGCCTTGCAAACAGTCACAATTTTCACATTCCTTCCTTACTACATCAAGGACTGAATCCACCAACTCTGCACCTTCTGTGTAATGGCCCTTTGCCCAGTTGTTTCCAGCTCCACTTTGTCCTGTGATCAAAAAGGATGTCAAACATATATAAACGTTAAACCAGATGAAAAAATGAACATGCAAGGTGTAACAAGTGTACAAGTAGTTACTGGTATGGAGTATATTATCTGCCAAGGTAAAACGTCTTTTCACAGTATCAATTTAATTTGATTTCTTACTCGTGACTATATCAGAAGTTTATCTATATCAGCACACAACCAACAAAATGTAGTTATTGCTAATAATCAACCAGGAGAATATCAATGTTATCCACTTATTGTGGTTATTATATGATACTTTCAATCAACTTAGTTTTGCCAAGATCAGACAATGGTCATTTTATAGATTCAAAGATACATCTCAAAATAAAGAGTCATATTTATAACTAAAGTTGAATTACTAGGAAAACATAGGTAAGATCTGAAAGATAGTTAGTCCCCTTAGATAATGCACATGGTAAGTCAAATTCAAGTGTATTCTTCATTAATAATTTCTCCAAACAGTTATTGGGCTAGTTTTCCTACTAGCTGTCATTAGATAGAGCCATCAGCTTGTCCATGCCCGATGAGACTTAATGGTGACTGAAGTAGTGGACAGAAGAACATCTATGGAATTTGTGATTTCAAGGTGTACAATAAAATATCCAATAGGAGACTTATCCAAAAGTCAAGCTCATGGAATTGAAAACCAATTATTGATCTGGATAGGAAATTGGCTGCATGGAAGGAGACAGAATAGCGATAATGGGCAGGTATTCCAAATGATAACATGTGACTAGTGATGCACCAAAGTGATCTCCTTTGGAGCCTCAACTATTTATAGTTTTGATTAATGACTTGGATGTTGGCATAGAAAGCTGCAGATCTAAATTTGTCCATGAAACAAAAATGGCTGGCAATGTAAACAGTGCAGATGCAAGTATAATATGAGAGAGATAATGATGGATAAAGTGAATACTGTATATACTCATGTAAAAGTTGAATTTTTTAAGACTTAAAGGTTAAATTTATGGGATCAACTATTACATGGATACTACTTTTGAGGGAGTGAAATTCATGCTACAGTCAAAAATACTGTATCATTATCAGAAGCCAAATTGTTCTCTAAATGAATAAAGAAAAACACAATGTATTACGGTACCCGTAATTACTAGATAAAGACAATAGAAACAAAAATGAATCACTGGTAATAAGCTTTTATTTATACATACAAAAATTAAACATGTCAAATACAAAAGTTCATTAAAATCCTGCAAAAATCACACTGTTCAACATCTTGAGCACTGAACAAAGCTTCATAAACATCAGGATGAATATCATCATATGGATCCTCTTCACCTTTGCTGTCTGTAGTTAGAGGTAGCACATCATCTGCTTCTTCTCCATCTATGTCATCCCACAGACGATCATCCTCTACCGTCTAATGCTTTCAAAATTCTACATTTCTTGGAATGATTTGAAACTAGTGTCAGCTATTATTTCCTTCCACGAATCAATGATCCATTCACAGATCAGTGGCAGCGAGGGAGCCACGTACTGCCTCCTCATGTATGTTTTCTCCATCGCACATCCAGTTATTCCACTTCATTCTCATATCCTTAAATGGCTTATTGATACTAACTCCATTGGTTGCAAAACACTTAAATCCGTCGGGAATTACAGCTAGGTCACTGTTACGTGATTGGATGTTATCAACAACATTCTTCACTAGATGGGATCTAAACTGGTCCCAGACAAGCAAACTTTTTCCTTATAGTCCACCAAGGTTGTAAATTCCAAACTTCTTTTATTCATTTTCTACATCCACCTTCATCCATCCAGCCTTGTGGATGCATATAGATGACAATTCCTTTTGGAAATTTCTCCTTTGGCAAAGTTTTTCCACTTAAGAACAGCCATCAGTTTTAACTTAGTGCCATCAGCCATACAAAGAAAGAACTAAAGTAAACCTACTTTTCTCAAAGCCAGTGGTTTTCACCAATACTGCTTTTTCCTCCGTTTTGGTTTACCATTCAATTCCCCAGCATGTCGAGTGTTAAATGCATTTTGTCCACGTTTCCAATGCATGATAACTTATAACCTTCCTTCTGCTGATTTCTGATTACAAACTGGTGAAACTGTAATATCTTATCTTTGAGTTCAGCAAGCAGCTTTTGTGCAATCTTAGTTCTCTGCCAAAGTACTAAGTCATGCCTTCTCATGAACCTTGTGCACCACCCAGCACTTGCCTTAAAATCTGAAATTCTATCCTTCTTTGATTGGTTTCATGCATGGCTTCAGATGGCTTCATGACAAACACATTTTCCATTTTGGCGATTTTCAAGTACCCCCTCAGCAACTTTCTTCTCCAATTACAACCACTTGCCAGGTTTACCTCTGTTGGCACTGTTTTGGCATTCTGAAGTCAGTTCAATATATTTCTTCAGTCTCTAAAGTTTATCAGAAACACAATTCTCCTGCTTCTACACAGTTATTTGTCTTCCCCACAACTTTCATAACTTTCGTTTTAAACACTGCTGTATATTTTTGTTTCTTCTAGAGGGCATTTTTACACAAAATGAAGAAATTTCAAAACCTCCGCAAGGTACATGACTGTATTCCTCGAGTGCCTGACTCTGACCTGATGTGTCTTAACCCTTCACACTAAATTCCTCTGTTTTCTCTCATCTACTGTTGTCTTAGTTTAACACTCACAGTCTTACCGATCATTTACTCATCATAACATTTACTGGTATGTACAGGATAACTCTCAAATGTTGATTTGTTATCGGTGAAGAACTAGGGGTCGATTTTTACATGATATGGAAAATTCAAGATTTTGGCCAAAAATAGGGGGTCAACTTTTACATGAGATCAACTTGTACTTGAGTATATGCAGTGGACAACTGTGGTGAATGGAAATTGGAGATAATCCATGTCTAACTAAATCAATGAAGTTTAGAGTGACATGGGAGTCACAATATATATAGTTTTTTATTGTCATGAACACGTGCAGAAAATAACCAAAAAGGCTGACCAGTTGCTCACTTATCTAGAGAACTTGAATAAAAAGTGGGTAGGTATTATGTTTCAGCTATCTAAGCCCTGGTTAAATTAACTCTTAAGTACTGTGAGCAGTTCTAGATATCCTGCCTTGGGAAAGATGCATTGGCCTTGGAGATTGATCTGTGGGTTTATCAGAAGAATACCTGGCCTTTTTAAAGTTATTAGTTTACATGATGTAACCCAGGTTCAATTCCATCCTTGGGCGACTGTTTGGAGTTTGCATGAGTTTCCTCTGGGTGTTCTGGTTTCTTCCCACAGTCCAAAGATGTGCAGGCTAGGTGGATTGGCCATGCTAAATTGCCCATAGTGTACAGGGATGTGTAGGTTAGGTGGATTAGCCATGGGAAATGCAGGGTCCCAGGGATAGGGTAGAGGGTTGAGTCTGGGTGGGATGCTCGTCGGAGAGTCGGTGTGGGCTTGTTGGGCTAAATAGC